GTTACAATAACGGGTCCCGTTGACTGAACCTGCGTCGAAGATGTGAAGGTCTGTACGACTACCAAGCATGATGCCTCCCCAAACGAGAACACCGCCACCTCCATACCTGTCCCTTTCAATGATGTTCGAGGGATGATTGCGGCTTCCCCCCCGCTCTCTCCAGATGAGTATGCGATGAGAATCGCTACTCAGACTGAATCTGCTCTCATCTGTAAAGAGTACTCGTCCCCATTCATTGTCTCTCCAATTCCTCCCAATTCCGGTGTTCCCGGCACCACAGAGAACGCCTTTCTCCGATGGGCAGGCGTTAGAGGTACACACCGTACAGGGCGTCGTGCAAAAGACCACCACCGTGCAGTCTTCTGGCCACGGTAAAACGCGATATCGGTCGTCCAGTCGCCTGTGTCGTGTGTCTAGCGATTTCTCCCGCTCCTTCCCCGCTGTCTGCCGCCTGTTTTCTTCTGGCCTGTAAGGCAATATACCGGTCATCTGCGGGTGTGGTTCCCCTCGTGGACGACCACTACTAAACCCCCGGATAGCTGTTCCTGTAGTTTGAAATTGTCTCCAAAGTCCGTGAAACGATGATGTTGAGCAATTCCGAACTCTGCAGCCACACTTGTCACACTGCGGCCTTCCTCCAACTTTCCCAATGATTCGACCTCGGGTAAAAGCATCCAGATGTCGTCTAACAGATTGATTATTCGCCATTTCTCTCTCTGAAGCAGCAACTCGGTGTGATTTTAACTGCTATATAAAACGGCGTGCAATCTCTTTGCCAGAAATACTGATCTTACACCGACCATGCTTTATACTACTCAGACACTCCCCCATTACGTCTACCTGCATATCTGCGCATGTGCTACCGTACATCACCTTACTTAATCTCCTGATCGGTCTTTCTGTCCGCTCTGCCTCTTCATTCAGCTGATATGCTAATTTTTCTACCTCGTCCTTAATTTTTGCACACCAGTGTATATCCCCATGATCTTCTCTAATTCAGATTTGATTTTACTATTTATCAATATTAATTTTTTTTACGGCACCGAAGTATGATTCGAAAAAGACAGCTAAGATCTGTCGGGCGTTTAGAAGCAGAACTGATAATTATGGAATAATTGCCAGTTCTTATAACTATGCTGAATATTTTAAGAGAGGGAATTTCTGCTCTGTGGAAACAGGTTAAGGATTCCGAAATTATTGCTGGAATACCAAACCAAGGCTTTAGAAGGGAAAACATTTTCTCAAGGTCGGTTCCCGTTATCAACTTCCTATCGCAACAGAAATTAGATTACTAGGCAGTTGAGTTCAGAGTGTTCAGCCGCCACTAGAATTCCTACTGTTATTGCGGCAAGCTTCCACAGAAGAGAGAAAAAAGAGAGAATTCCAGAAAACCGTTGGTTTGGTGTTCCATACTTTTTACAAAGAAGCAGGAGAGGGGCTGCCCACAAAGCTCTTGCGCGGGGCCCCTGCTTTGGATAATTACGTTTAGTGCGCTTCTACAACTCAATTGGCCTGACCACACCAAAGTAGTGGCGTATGCCGATGATGCGGCACTACTAGTTACTGGCCGTACGCGAGACGACGAACTGGAGAGGAACGGCTCCGCCACTTGCTCCCAAATTCTATGACACGTGCCAAAAGCTGAAACTCGTTATCTCAGCCCAGAAATCTACTACGGCCATGGTCATACCGCGTCCAGGTACAAACCCCACGAGACGACCTTGTATTAAGCTAATGGGCAGAAACTTGAAAATCACCAAAACGTTGAAATACCTTGGAGTCACGTGGGACCAAGGCTTGACCTGGCTACCACATCTACAAGAAGTCAAAGTCAGAACAGCCAACATTGCAAAGAAAGCCAGGCAGTTTCGGGGACAAAACTGGGGGCAGAACCCTTACATTCAAAAACTGCTCTACTTGACGGTTGCAGAAAGGATTGTACTCTATGCCTCAGCTATTTGGGCACTACCAATGGGCAGCCGTAAAATAAAAGCCCTGTCAGCAATTCACAAAGACCTTTTGCTCTCAAACATTAGCAAGGCATATAGAACAACCGCGACAAATGCAGCACTTGTGCTTACCGGGCTCACACCCCTTCACATCAGGGCCAAGTTAGAAGCAATATATGAGCGGGTAATAAGATTAAAGGAGAATGCTGCACTCGACACCACAGTCTTCAGCACGCTGCAGTACGAAACACCAGGCAGCACACAGCACGTGCACCCAGCACATAAAAACTCGGGCATACACGTCAAAATAGCAAAGAGATCTACGCCGCGAATAGAGGATGTACCAGTCGCCTCGCAATTCTACACAGATGGCTCCAAACATGATAACGGAGTGGGTTGTGCTTATGCTTATTATGAGCATGGTACACTTCACAGTCAATGGAAAGGTCATCTTGCAGCTCACAATAGTATCTTCCAGGCGGAGGCCATAGCAATTGAAGCGGCAATACAGTACGCACATGACATACAACTTGCACGAACAGAAATCTGCACAGACAGCATGTCAGTGCTGCAGGCATTAAAGAATCATCATCACACATCTCCCATAATCCTGCAAATCCAACAGACATTGCATAGCAACCAGCAATCTAACATCAAGCTAAAATGGGTAAGAGGCCACTCTGGGATCGCAGGCAATGAGATGGCAGATCAACTGGCCAATGAGGCAGCAATCAACAATAATGCACAGGCTGTCTCAGCACTAATCCCGCCGTCATTTTTAAAAAGACAACTAAGAGACATAGGGAATAAACAATGGCAACACGAATGGGAGAATGGAGATACCGGCAGAAGGACTTTCGAATTCTACCCTGTAGTAGATAAAGAACGCTTACAGGCCATACCCCCTTTAGTAAACTATATCACGGGGCATGGCCCTTTTCCCACCTTCTTTTATAAGCGTGCTATTTCCATGACAGAAGCGTGTGTGTGTGTGGGGAAATTGGCTCCCCCGACCACTACGTGTTCAACTGTAGCCTCACGACGAGCCATCACCTACCATATCCCACTACGGATATAGTACCTTACAAGAGGTTCATCATCATCAAACACGCACCTGCGATAAGAAATATATGTAAAATTATACAGCAGCTGAGCGCCCTAGGGCAGGATGTCTGCCAACCAACATAGGAATAATAGCATACACAGCACAATAATTCTATGTCTCTATTGTAACTTAGCAGGTGTTATGTCTAAAATTGTAAATATGTAAGTGTATAAGTAACTGTGTAATGTAAGTAATAGTGTAATGTAAGTAATTTAATCAATGAGTGTAATACGTCTTACTATGTGTACTTTTAACATAACGTAATCGGTAATGTAGTCATTAGCGCGTGCCCCATGTGTATTATTTTAAGTAACGCATATATGATTATAAGGCAAAGTATGTGTGCCTATCTTGTTATATAGCATAATGTCATTTAAGAAGTAATAGCAATAATGTAAACTATAAGTAATCCAGTTATAAAGTAACTTAGCAAGTTCGCAATACAATTAGCTTAACGTAGTATACAGTCAGGTTATAACTCTAATAAGTGTAGATTAATGTCATGCATTATGTATGTGTAGTCTAATGTCATGTGAAGTGTAAAGTATGTATGTACTAATTCATGCAAGTATTATGTATAAGTTTAATGTCATGTCATATATCATGTATGTAATGTTATGTTTCATGTATGCATTATGGCCTATGAACACCCAGGTCAACCATTAACATAAGAATCTGTACAAAACCAATGTCAAACTGGAATAGCCCCATATGGCCATGTAAATTTTTTCATGAAGGCTCAGTAACTCCCGGTGCACCCTTGTGGGACCCCAGGGAGTTCTTGTATCTATATAGGGGAGGGCGTGGGACATATGCCTGTTTACCTCCGTTAAACACCAGGCGTCCCCGTCCTCCGTCACCTGTCACCACCTATTCCATACTTTTTATTGATCTCACAATAAAATAGAGCCCACCAGAAACGTTGCATAGAATTTCAAAGCTGGAATTTGCAACAATGAGATCTCGTTCTCTTCAGTAACAAATCTAATTTCAGTTTGACGGTGCAGAGAATTTCAAAGCTGGAATCTGCAACAAGTAGATCTTGTTCTCTTCAGTAACAAACCGAATTTCAGTTTAACATCTGATTCCAAACTTGCTTAAATTTTAATGGAACTAGAAACAGGAATTATTCCCATCATATTATTCAATATGGCCATTGCGGCAGTGTAGATGGAATGGTATTGGGAAGAAATTGCGATTAATGGACGTACTCCCCCTCCCTTTGTATGTGTTTGGCAAGCGACCTGTGTCTGCCCGGAAGTGCCAAGATAAAGTTTTTCATATCCAGCGATTCTTGTTGACAAATTTCTTGAAACCGAAAGCGATGAATAAATAAACTGGCCAGCCAAATCTCTTGATGAAAACTCCACAGAGAGCTGAAAGAAATCTCAGTGCCTTGGGGACGGAGTATAATGCACTCCCCCAAGATTCTTATAAACCACTTTGTTGTAAGCATGAAATCACGTTGTGATGTATGCATACGAATTGGTAAGGTAACTTTCCGTGTTAATGTAAGACGTCTATATTTGTTCCAGGTGTATGCACTATTTTCTAAAATTTCGTTGTCAGATACTTTTTTCAGTATTATTTGTCACATAATATATTTTTTGGTATGTATATTCGATTTTTCAGTTTTATTTACCTGTTATTATGTTTTGTGTTTCCTCATATGTTTCTGTACACGTAAAGATAAATTGGAAACCACTATAATTCACGAACATTCGAAGTCTAGCAATATTCTGAATATCACGAAGTTAAAAGTTTTTGTCATGAGAACTGTAAATAACATCGTTCTGATATTTTAGCCGCTAAACAGTCTTGATTTTTAAAACTTATCACACTTGCAATGCAAACTTAACAGGGTGTTAATGGGCTATTCTTCCTTGTACTTTATTAGTATTTTATTGTAAAATACAGTAACTTAATTTTCTTCTTTCCCATTTCAGTATACACGTGTATAATTGCAGTGACAATATTCGAACCAAGAAAAATAAAATTAAAATCCAGCATACAGCTGCAATACAGTGCATAATGTAAGTAATTTTACTTGACATTTTCTAGTGCATAGCAAACAGTTCTGTTATGATTAAAATTTATATCTGATTACTGTGACTTAATTTCGTAAAATTTCATTGAGTTATTGTGAGGTATATGTTTAATTGTATAATATATGCTAATTGTATAATATATTTTTTTTAAATTTCAATTATCTTTCAGATACTTGGATAATCGAGTGTTTGTTTCAATAGCCAATGGTGAAGTTCATGTTTATAAAAAAGAAACAGGTATGGTTGATAAAGAAATCATGAATATTCTATTTGTTAAATTTCGCAGTTAACGTTAACAAAAAGTGTTTATCAAAAAGTGGAAAAATAGTTTGGATCATAAATGTTCCGTTCAGTCATAAATATTTATTATCCTAATACGTATATGAAATGCGTTTTGTTGTTTTGTAATATGAGGGGGGGAGAGATCTCAGGAAAATTGTGTTTTAAATGTAGTACTAATAGCACAAGTATATGCAGGATTTCGTTTTTGCACAGCAAACAGTATAATAATCGCAAACGAAGATACTAAATTTTGAAGAAACTGTGTAAATATTTATATCGAATATATATTGTAGTCGATGGGGGGTAAGCTACTGTGGAAAACTTGCAAAAATCATTCAGTAACTCTAGTTAGCGAGAAAATAGTATTTATAACCATAAGGAAAAATTATGAATGTACGCTACTGGCGCTTGAACGAATCCTTGTTATATCTTTTAATCAACTGCTTGGACGGTGTATAATATATCTTAAGCACCGTTCTAAGCAGGCGTTGTATATAAGTATTGAAAAATTGATTTATTAAAAGAGGAATAGTGAACTGTAGGGCGAGGGAAGGTGCAGTACTCTGTCTCTCTCTCTCTCTCTCTGTGTCCCCCCCCTGTGAATTTCAATACATCATGCTTTTTCGGCTGCAGACTCTCCCACAATATCCTTTGGCTTGATTAAATGTTTGCATACTAATATTATATTATTTAAATTGTGAAAAATACTATTAAAGTAAATTTGGTTTTTAGAAGTAATTTACTTACTAAGTTATTGTAACAGTTAAAAAAAATTAAATTACCGAAAAACAGTTTGTTGAATTAAACATATGATTAATAAATTGGTAGAGTCATTAGGTTTTTTTGAAGCAGGAGTCATGAAAAATGAGAAATGCCTTCGCCGGGACTTGGACCTAGACCTCTCGAATACGCGCCGAGTGCAGTATCGTTACACCATGAAGGCATGCCGGAAGGAGGAAGAAAACTCCTTATAAGTTGTTTACTGTTTTGTACGAAATATTTACAGAATTTGTAGTTTATTGATTAAATGATTATTTTTAATACAAAAGGCTAAAAACAAAATTTTCCTCTACACTATTAAATCTATCAACAATTTCTTATTCATTTATGTAGATGTTTGGTTTAAGTTACAATAATGAATATATAGTAAAACAAGTCCATTTAATCTAGATTCATTTGATGTACTTCGCCAACTGGCGGCCGAGCGGTGAAGTCACTGAAGACTGGTTGTTAACATGGGTTTCTATTCCAGGCAAACGGGCCGGCTGCATGGGTCGTTCACGTGGTTTTCCCGACGTATAACGTACATAGGTACATTGAGTCCACTACGAAGGCATCCTTCCTCTTAAGCAGATACCCCTCGAGTGCTTTGCCATAGTCAAATAAATCAAAGCAATTTGTTGTGCTTCTTATATATTACTGTAAGATTAGAAAAGCTTTCTGAAATCCAGCAGAAGTAGGCAAGCTGGCTGATATTTAAAAAAAGAGAGAGAGAGAGAAATTCGAGAAATCAATATTGGCACGTGCTAAGTGGCATAAAAAGCAGTTTTGTGGATGTGTTTTCACAGATGTTCAGAAATGATAGATCAAATAACGAATACAAGACTTACTTATATGTCATAAAATGTTCGATGGGTGTCAGAAGTTGTAATTGTTTTGTTGTGAGGCTAAGGGACAAGATATTTTTTATATATAATAAACAGAACTGCGTTCATTGATAATCTGTTCAGCGAAAGATTGCAAACCTTGTGTTGTTTTAATAAAGAATAAGTTTGAAGGAATTGTTAAACATATTTTTATTTAACAATTCCTTCGAACTTTATTACATACATTTATTAAGCCTTTATTGAAAAAATAATAAAATGAGTTCCCCTATTTTTGTTTCGAGAATTTTCTGAGTTAAACTTCCGTTTTAACGAACATTTTAATGAATTATTTCAGGTGGTGGATGGTGTACTTCAGAGCCTCAAAACGTGAACATTGGCAGTGCATCTGCTCCAGTAACAAAAATGCTGGCTGTGGCTGGTAAGCTTTGGTGTGGCTGCCAAAATACCATACATGTGCTAAATACAGGAAATCTTCAAGTAGAGGTACTCTTAATTTTAGATTCTTTATCTTTTCTATTGCATTCTAGTTTGAGATGAAATATTTTATTACAATACAAGAACTAACATACTGAATGCAAACGGGATGCGCTATAAAAGAACATACAGACGCCACTCAAAAAAAATTGTGAAAATGGATTCGGAAATAAATATTTCCGTTGAAATATAATACCCGAAATTTTTCGCGTTTACGATACTTCCTACAAAGAAGTAAAAACTTGCAATTTAGGTGTCCCAGTTCAATATGCTGATATAGGATCTAACTTTCTTTCTCTAATAATTTGCAGTTCAATTAATTTTAAACAAATTTTACATACTGCATTGTCAAGGCCATCTGAAAAGCAGTTGCTTGAATCTTTTTTTTTTAATTATTCTTTGCCCATTTCCACGATACAGTTATTTTTTAAAAGCTATTTTAACTCACTTCCTTTGCTTAGGAGTGTGATCATCATGATTCTTGCAAGAATTTTAAATCTTCATTATTAAAATTGTTTTGGAAATGCTATTTCGTAAATCTGGAAAGGTAAAATAACTTGCAGTTCTTCTATTATATTTATACCTTTATTAAAATGCAAATTAAGAACAGAGCTTATAATTGCGCTGTTTAAGGTATTTATAATTTTATATATATGCCTGAAAAATACCATATCATGCAAATAATTTAGTAACAGTTTGAAAAACAAGATACAGGAAACTGCTTTTTAGATGGGCTTGAAAATATAGTATACAAAATTTATCTAGAAATGTTTTTGATAAAAGAGAATGATTGAAATTTCTTTTGCCTTATTTTCATTTACTGCGTTATCAGTTTTAGTTTTCGAACTTAAAACATAAAGCATTTAAGTGACTATAAAGTCTTAAGCTTTTTTAACTGTGATCTCACAGTTTAATTTTCTTGAATTTGTTAATTTAATTTAGTTTTAAATTTTGAGCATGAAATATGATCGTTTGTTTTGTTACCTTGCAATGCTAATGTACTTTTCAGTTTCAACTCCAATGAATTCAAGCTGTGTCATAATGTACATATTTTTCAGCACTCCTTTCCTGTTAGCAGTGACACCACTCGCACTGTACTCTGCATGGTTACTTCTGGCTTGGGCGTCTGGATTGCCCTCCACCACAGTGCTATTCTTCGTCTTTTCCATGCCACCAGCTATGAATGTCTGTTTGATATAAACGTAGCTCCAGCCGTTACTAAAATGCTATCAGGTATGAAAGAATAGCAATATTTAAAAATCTCAAAAGTAAAATTTTTTAAAGAACATTTTGCCAAAATATTTTGATAGAACGTAATTTCAGAAAATGATATTATAGTAGTAATTATTATAGAACGTAATTTATATAATAATTAGTACTATTACAGAAATATAATAGTATTATAGAAATTAATTATATAATTAATTACTAATTATTATAGGAATATAATAATTAATAAATAAATATTTCTATAATAATTACTAAATATTATAGAAATATAATAGTATATTTCTATAATAATTAGATAATGATATTATAGAACGTAATTTCAGAAAATGATATTATATTTCAGAAAATGATATTATAGTACGTTGAATTCACTTCCCCCCCCCCAAAAAAAAAAGAGAGAGAGAGAAATGTTGCAAATCCTGATCTAGTCTACCTTTTTGGCAAATTTTGATTAAAATGCTTTCACAAATGATCTCGAAATTTTTTTTCGAGATCATCTGTGAAAGCAGTCTTTGCAATAGTGAGCTAGACAACGTTTTTCTTGAAAGAGTTAATCATTGCTGCTTTCATTCAACAGCTGCAGAATCATTAATTTTATTAGACCGGGAAAACAAAAATGAGCAATGCCTTTGCTGGTATTTGAACTTCAGACCGCCTGACTAGACGGACATACTTTTAATAAGATCCCGAAGGCACCCAGTAAGGAGGAAGAAAATACCTCACAAAGTGGCATCAGTCCACGTTCCGGTGTGTCCAAATAAATCCTGTCATTTATATATAGATTTTTGCTGTACTAAAAAACATATACACGTTGAATTTATGAAAAACTTTCAAAAATATTTAATGAATTTATCTCTATTTTTTAAGTATAATAAAATCTGGTATCGACTACACAATATACTTGTAATGAATTTTTAAAATGTTTCGCTGACTTATGAATAATTCTTATAGTTAAGTGCCTACTGATAGGGACTTGCTTGAACTCTCAGCAGGTTTAGAGTATCTGGTGAGCAGCAGTTTTTAAAGAACCATGCTATTCATAGAATTCAGGAACTCATGAAATTTCTTACGTAAAATGTAACTAACTGAAATTGCATCCTACATAGTCACTTTTATCCATGCATTCTAACTACCTTGTTCCATCCTTCATGCAAAAAGCATTCTTAGTATAAAGTTGCTCTTATTATTATATATTGTAATTTATGTACCTTTTATAATTTTCGTGTAAATACATATATACTGCGCATTTCAATGTTTTCTTGCGTACTTTGTGTATTTTGTCCATTATTTAGGGGAAGCAATTTTGCTTCTCGCAATCACAATCCCAAGCAATTGTTAGCGAGTTGCAATTTACCTCTAGCAGACATTGAGCTAAAAACCTTATGAAGGACAATTGTCCATCAGAGTCGTTAGAAATAATAATATTCTTTTTATGGCTAAATATGAATGCTTAATAAATTAGGAATTGTGTTTGAAAATCACATCCAAATGACTATTCACGTATGATTAATTATGATTTTAAAAATATTTGACCAGAATCATTTTTGAATGAGGAAATGCTAAATACCCTATCATGTAATTAAAAAAAAAAGTACACTTTGCAAAAAAATGGAGGACAGTTCTAATATGTATCCGGTTTAGGCGATCGATAAATTTTAATTTGAACTTTTCATGTCTAGAAAGGATCAACTGGGACATGTATTAGATTTCATATACATGTACTCAGAACTTAAAATGAACATTATGCAAATTTATCATCTCAGAATCCTACGAATCAACTCGTTACGATTGCATAGTTAAAATCTTTGCTATAGAAAGCCGCTTGGGTTTAAAGTTAAAATGTTGCAATTCCTGCGCTATGATAAACGATATATTTTATATGGTGCCATGATAAAAATTTAACAAGGAGATTTATGTGACCTTTTTCTCCCAAATTCTGTTTAATTACAAAGTACTTTAAAGTGAATACGTGTGTGAAACCGACTTTTCTCAAAAATAAGGGGGAAAATCGAGGATGAAATGAGATTCATACATTATACGTTTATTTATATATGTTACGGTGAAACACCGAAATCTGGAGAATGTCGACTTTCACCGGTGAATGTCAACATTCACATAGTCTCTTGGTGTATGTCCGAAATATTTTCCAAATACTCTTATTTCTAACTTACACCGGTCACCATGTACTAATGGTGAATGTTAAACCTATAACAATATTATATTTTCTTCTCCGTAATTCTGTCGCGAATAAACGAACTTGAGACTTGAAATAAGAACTTAAGAACATGAGAACCTAAAACACACAATACATTCAAAATGAGAAAGGAAAATAATAGAAGTTTAAAACTTACTTAATTATACAGTACGTTCTAAATGAGAAAATAAAATAACAGTAATAAAAAACTTACTAAATTATGTTATTCAAATCTTATTTATTGCAACAACTTAAACTATTATGGCACTTTATGACCTTTCTTTTCGACTTTCACCAGAGCATATCTGTGATTGTCGACATACACCGGTAAGGGTCCGAATATACAAGAATGTAGTGAAATATTCGGTCTTTCACCGACGTATTTGGTGAATGTTGATATTCTCCGGTGAAAGCCGACATTCTCCAAGTTCGGTCTTTCACGGTAACATATACACATATTTTACATTGTCCATAAATGTATTATTTAAGGAGAAATTCAATTTCAAATTTATTGATCTGCTAGCTACAACTGGAGATATAAAAATATCGCTTTTTTTAACTTTGCATTATGCATTTAAACATGAATTAATATTTATACATGCTTATATTTACAGAAATTATTAATTATAAGGAATAATAAAAGCCTTTTGTTTTTAATCTAAATTAATCTATTTATCTGACATAGGTTGTGATGATATCATTCGACAACATAAAGCAGCATGCCTAAGGGTGACTGCTATGCTGGCTTGTAAAGATTTGCTTTGGGTAGGCACAAGTGCTGGTGTCATTTTAATATTACCTCTTCCACATCTCACTTCATCCACCACAAGTCTTGATGACATACCTAATGTCTCAGGTAAATTTAAATTTGTACAACGGTAAGAGAAACTTTGTAATCAAATTTGTAATTTTAATATCAAAATGTCAAAGTGAATTCTGTGTACTTTTGTGCTTATATGGAGTGTTCAATTTAAAACTGAACCTCATATCCAGGAAAACTTAATTTTGTGCATATTATTTTGCAGTAGTTTTCCGATTACAGTAATATTCTGGAGAATTTTTTCGTGTATTACTTGTTCTCTCATCAGTGGAAATCTTCATATTACGCGATGTTTCACCCGTCACGGCCCATTTAAATATGTATTCACCACTTTGGTTACAAAGCAGAGAAATTTTGTAATTTCACATGAAAATTTCCCTTTCGCAAGCCAACTTTACCCAGCCATGGTATATTAATCAGAAGTACATTAAAAAACGAACATGGTGAATACAGTATAGGGCTATGAAATTAGCAGTGGTCCTACTAAGGCATTGAGTAAGATTGCTGCTGCTGTTACTTGTCTGTACAACATTTTGCACATGCTCACGGAGAAATATGCATCACATTTTTCCAAAAGCTATAGTACTTAATATAAATATCGTGAATTATTTTGAAACATTTAATAATTTGTATTCTGTGACTTTTTTTTTCTTTTAATTCGTAAATGCTTTGTGAATAGTCCCTACTTCCACCCAGTATTATGCTACTGTTGATAACAGATTTTTGTTTGTTTTTGTGGACCTGTTTGAGTCTTTGAATTATTTTCAACCGTATAGCAATGGGCATATCATATTCCACTCTAAGATATTATTCTTAATATGTATCACAGTTCTATCAAAAATTTGCTACTGGAAAATATATTTAAGCGTGCGCATTGTTATATTTCCCAAGTACTTGCAATTTTTAAACATGTCAAGTGTCTAATAAATGGATAGCATTGTACATATCCTTTGGTATTGTCCTCCATGACCTGTAATGACATTGTTTTGTGAAAGTTGTATAACTTGCAGTATCACAGTTTTGTGAAAGTAGTGCATAACCTGCACTGCCACAGTTTTGTGTCTTCACTGCTAATTGCAAAGAAGATATGTTTCAGAGCAGTTCCTTGTCACAACACTATTGGAATTATCCGGTCACAATGCTAGTATATTCCTATAACCGACATGCTAAACTTACATAAACCTGCTTCGACATGACGAACCCATCAAGAGCATTGCCGAGCCGATGCAGCGTACTCATTACCAAGTACATTTTATGAGTTTGATGTTGAGTACCACCAATATGTGAGACCAACAGAAGCTTGATGACGGGCTCGTTAGCTGCCCCCCTATCCGGGGAACGTTGCCGCCCCCTCAACCGCGCTGAGGTTTTTTTACGCTCAAAGTAGTTTTCTTGTCACAACAGGAAGATTTTCTTCTGTTGACAAGGGATAAAAGCCAGAACTGCGCATTTGTGGACTAGCTTATCCAGTTATTGGCATTGTAGAGTTCCTCATTTTGTAAATGCTAAGTTATTGTTGAACGTGAAGAATCTTAAGAACAGTTAAGCGAATAATCGCTTGAGTTCGTGTGACAAGAAACAACAATATGAAAGGGTAAATAACCCTTTATTATTCAAACACGATTTAACAGAACTCCGTCTGGGAGTGTACAATAAAAGCTGACACTTGGGCTTGAACTTAAGAGGCTAAGAAGTAAACTAAAACTAATTTAAACTAAAGAGAGACAGACGAAGCTATCAAAATTCTAACCGAATTGGCCCCTTAACTCTAATTGACTGCGAAGCTATCAAGGCCCTGAGTACGGCCGAGCGTAATAACAGCTTTGAGAGAGAGTAGCCAAAAAGACGAACGCTCGCTAATCAGAAACTCTGATTCTCTCTCTCAGCAAGTAGAACTTCGCGGCAAGTACCGCTCTTCCTCATTATGTATTCAGAGTGATTCTAAAACTACGTTCTGGCCGGAAGTAGTAAGTTGAAGTTAAGAATTTGACAGGAAAAGATTTTAACTCAAAATTTAACTGTTAATAAAATTAACATAATCCTTACAGTATAAAATGCAAAAATGGAATATGTAAGGTAAAGATCATATTATACGGAGATGAAAAGAAAATTCCGAATATTTGAGCATTTCACTAAGTTGAAAAAATTAATAAATTTAGATCTTAGAATTAGAGCCAACTTTTGACTAAACGGGTTAACACCGGGACGATGTCCATGATTAACTAAACGATGTCAGCGATTAACTAAACCTTACGGGTAATGCGAAGAAAGCTAAAAATCGCAAGAGAGAGGAATAAACTATACCATATATTAACAGACCTACTATCAATTATTTAACCTGGAATTTCAAGTAGTTTATTCTGAAGAATAAGTTCATTTGGTTGCAGAATTAAATTGGTATTCGAAACAAAAGAAATGCCTATAAATAACGGGAAAATAAACGACAATATAAATGAAGAAACTAAATTATAAATTGTATTAATAAACAGAACGTTAACAATGCCATTAAGTTTAAATTAGCTTAAAAAAGGTCAGTCAAAGCCTTTTGTATTTTTGTCAGACATCATCTGCTAGCATCTGCTAGGAAACTGGCTCGTATCCATGTTACACATGGGAAAAACCACGAAACAGGTCATGCTTCAGCCCGTTCGCCGGAACTCGAATCCCGGATTAGTTTTTTCCATTCTCAGTAATAATAAACTGAATTATATTTTAGAAAGAGTCCAATTTATCGGGAGTTGACTGTATTTATCATACTCTGTAATAATTCTTAGAATTGGTACAACGTTGAAGCACTGTCTAAAAAAGAAAAAAATATTGAATCGTAAATAGAGTGTATTTTATTTGCAAACTGGATTTTAATATTGAAGGTCCTTAATATGTTTTTAAATAAAGATCAGGATTTCTTTTATGTCTACCTTTTTTTAAAATAGTGTTAGGTGTTTATTTAACTTCTGAATTATTCATAAATTTCTATCGCAGTTTTGTAATTTTGTAATGTAAATAATCATTTACTCTTCTGAAATTCTAAATGATTTATATAAATGCAATGTCTCTTTCACTTAGGACTTCCATTCGGGCACACAGGGCATGTTCGTTTCTTGACATGTGTAGAGATGTCTCCAGGAACATCTTTGGACATGACAGGCTATAACAAGTATGCCCTCCGCACCCGAACTAAAGAAGGAGCAAGTGGCCGCCGGGCGTCCACTAGTGCCTCAGCAGGCAGTAAACTATTAGTTATTAGTGGAGGTGATGGTTATGAGGACTTCCAGAATTCTGGACTTGGGGAAGCAGCTGGTCGTGATGACAGTACCAATCATTTGCTGCTTTGGCAAGTGTGATAAAAGCAGTGAATAGCCAATATCAGTCATTCTGTCTGTGATACATTACAGTGATGTTTGTTTAAATGCCCATAGCACTATTCCATGGTGATAATGCATGTAATAAATTTCATAATTTTAAAAAGCCATATATACATACAAGCATGCATACATATGCTTTTATTATAGTATTATTCATTATGAATTTAATTTGTATATATTCTCATCACTGATAAGTATTCTTCAGTAGTGCATAATAATATTTGCTCTAAATTGACATTGTTTAGTATATTTTCCATCTTTTCAATTGATGTAGAGTAACAATATTTATGCAATTTATTTATGTAAAACCACCATGACTTTATAGAAAGAAGGTGATTTTTCATAAATAAAATGTCCATAAAATATTGTCTATTTTATTGCTCATATCGTAATTTTTTTTTTTTTTTTTTTTTTTTTTTTTTGGAAATCTCAAACATTGAGTCTTAAATTATGTTTGATAATAATAAAGCTGTCTGTGAAAACTGAAGAAAGTAACCAACTTTCTTCAGTTATTCACTGCTTCAGTCATGTTGGTATCGTTTCACAATTTTCAATTACCTATCAGGTACTTTAAAGTAAATTTTTATTATTACTAAAAAATTAATATGTTTTGAAAATGCGTATAAAAGTTACATATGATTTAATGATACATAAAACTTTCAGTTTAACATTCCATTTCCTGTCCTTTGTGTTAACTTAAATGTTTCTTGGCATTGCTTAGTAAAGAAACACATTGATAATTGGACCATGAATAAGATGCTGAAAAATTTACTTGAAACATGCATTTGTGTATATTTGGAAAGTATTTCAATTTGCTATATATATTGCTAATGCATTTATATGAGTCTTGAGCCACTTGTATTTTATTGGGTGCATGTAATGCATGATAGAATGTAATTCGTTGTAAAGATTTTTCTTCTTGTTTTTTAATCTTCTTGTTTTTTAATCTTTCATTCTAGTGAATGTAAATTTTAAATGAATGGTCAGAACATGACAGCTGATTTCACTCTCAGTGATTGTTAATTTTACTCAATATTGTATTATACTTTTCATTTACATTGTAAAATAATTCATCTTTCAATGAAACAAATCATAAATTGATTTCTTTGAAGAATTCCTTTTTATTGAGGCATATTTTAATGTCATGATGCAAAAGCAAAACAAAAAAAATGGGAGGTTATTTTGGTATAACGTTTCGAGAAACATTAGTGAATCATAAGGCTAAAGTGATTTATCACATCCTAGCCTTTGTAAAGCTTTCGTGTTGTGATCAGCTCATCTGTTTCATCATTAGACTAGAAAAATGTAATGCAGGATCATTTTATTAAGAAATATATGTATGTGAATTTTCATATAAAAATCTCTTAATCTTCATTATTATTGCATGTATATGTGATATCAGCTGTATATTTATAAGATGCGATTTTTCTCTGTCCATTAGATTCTGAAGCTATAAATATGTGAATGTACTCTTCTAAGATGTTGATGTTTCCGTGCGAGTGTAAAGTTTGTAATACTAAATAATCGTATTTACTAACACGCTATTGTTCTTTAAAAACAAAACCTTAAAGAAATGCGACTACAAATTGTATTTTTTTCAGGATATGTAAAGTAGACAATGCAGAGCAAATGATTTAACATTTCACTGTACATCGATGCAATTAGTTTTCTGAGTACCCACCTCTGAATTGTATTTCTTGCTGTAGTCACCATGGCAAAGAATGAAATAAAATTTCAATAGTATGTTGTGGAATATCCATCCGAGCTGCATTAATTCGCTTCGAATATTCATCAAGATTTGGTGTAAGATTGTCATAAGTACATCATTCTTCGTTTGATAATCATGAAATTTGCAATGAGTCATCATCCAAGCGGCTAAGAAAGGAGTGAGGCATTATTAATTCTGGAGAAGGTTTCGTTGTTGCTGCAGTATGAGGATTGCCATTGTTCTGTTGAAAAATTACTTGAAAGAGGTCTTGTAAGTAAGCACAGGTGACTGGTAGTAAAGTGTCATTGAACTCGTTAGTGTGTCTTGAAGTTTTATGAAGGGCGACTTTCTGTTAAATCTAATAGCATCCCATAAAAAGGCACTCCTTGTTGGTGCGGTTCACCGCATGCGAATATCGTTTCTCATAGTCTATCATCCTGTCGGCGTTGGGTACATATACCACCAATATTTTTGCCTAAGCAAAACCGTAAGTAATCAGAAAAGATGATGATATGCCGCTCATTCAACAATTTACTGCTAATCTAAAACAGTTCGATGCATGTTGCTTCCTTCTGGAAGTTCGTTGTCTAAGTGTCAAAGGTAATCTGAGAAGCGTTTGATGTGCCTATAATCCAAAGCATAATAAACGGTGACATACTGATAAATAACATTGACTGACGTGTTACCATTCACCTTTGCTGCGTCAGTGTTGAAAATACTGTCGATGGCGTGCATGGTCACCCAAAGGTTCCTAAGAGGACGATCCCTTCTGGGCGTTGTCTGCTTATACGTCCAGAATATTCTCTTCGTGTTTCATCTTAAGAACAAGTTTCTCCGTACTCGTTTAACCACAGAAATGCTCAGCCCTACCATTTACCTACTCAGGAATAGAAGCGTTGATTTTCCTTTTGCCAGTGATACATCCTCTGTCAAAGATACGTATTTGATTACACAGTTGTCTTTGCACAGCATAGAAGCATCCTTACTCATTACTGCACGAGGATTAAAATTCCTCTGTAGCTGTGACAAGCTTTAAAAAATAATGAAGACTAATTGACATAGGAGTACGTTTTGGGTTTTTACTGATATATCTTCGGAATATATGGACCAGTGAGACTAAAATGCTGATCATTTGTCCTGTATTGCATATTTTACATAATCTGAAAAAAATTTAAGTTGTTGCTATATTCCTTCTAAGTGCTCTGTTTTTTTAAGAGCAGTTGTGTGCACATAGGTGGAATTTTGTGAGTGTAAATAAACTTTTAAATTGTTAGTTTTAACTCTTTTGAGCTTTCCATGCATTTAGAGATTGACAAACTTAGCTATGCTCAATAGTAATGGCATCAGAAACAGGGCTTTGACATGATGTATACTTAGATTAACTAAGGTTGTTCATGACTGTAAGAATAAATTTTATCTGTTTCACCTTTAACTGTTTAAAATTTAAACTACAATTCTTTTTTTTTTTTTTTTTTTTTTGTAATTACAAAAGGTACCAAAAGTGTATCATTGATACTTAAATGTACGTTAAAAAATTTATATCAAACGTACTTATAGGAACATATTTTATTGAGCTTATGCGTTATCAAAACGTTTATAATAAATAATTACTGAAATAGTATTTGTATGGAAATGTAGCTCCATATGTGTGAAATTAATTTAGCTTGGCAAATGACCGATTGGTTTCGCCATTCTTGACTAGTGCTTAACGAGCAAGTGTCAGGCCATTTGGGGGGAACGGGGGAGATGTTAAATATTTTCGACAGTAAATTTATTCTGTTTTGGTTAGTGCAAAATTTATTGTTATCCATCTGCAAAAAACACACTTTTTATATAATCTCTGAATGTGTGCGTCTGAAAAGTGTTAACAATTTTTTATCCTACCTGTTGCTGCTGATATGAAAACAGAACATATCTCTATGTAAAAATTATTTATCTTGCCAAGTGATGTGAACTAGCAATGCAATATCACCTTGGATTACTGCTTTGTGAGTGCTTTCAAAAATGCACTAAAATCATTTGTGCCAATGATTGAAAATGTCTGCAGTGTTTCCAGCACTGTAGTATATGTAAATAATTTAATGTATATAGTCTTCATCTGCATGGATAAAACAAAAACCTGTCCATTTATTGGAAATTTTAATCTCAATCAGCTATTTATTATGTTCTTGCTCTTATTCTGTAAACATTTGGCATGCAAAAATCATTAAACGTAAAATATCAATGTATTATGATGTTCTCTTATATACGTACTGTATTGAATGAACAAATTGTTTTTGGCGAAGTGTTTTTAAATATGTGATATTTACTATAGTAAAATTTGCAAACTGTTGTATAAAATATGAACTTTATTAAGTATATGCAGAAGTATCGAGAAACAATTGTCAAAGCTTTAAGATAAATGTTAAAATTTGTAGCAGATGTATCTGTAATGTTATATGGAAAGCATTAGCTGTTATATTTAATCCAGGAAATGTAAGTCTATTCTGTGGTCAACGTCCACATGAATTTTTCAAAATTTTTTTATTATGAGACAGTTTGAAACATTTGCATTTCCTATAGTTCAATTATCTTTTATAATTTACTTCCTTAAGTATGTAATACGTGTATGAAGCTCTTAATATATGTAAATTGTTTCATAAACTTAACTTTTCACGTCAAAAAGTACTCTTAAACTTATTTTAAAATTTATCACTTCTTTCTAACGTAAAACTTTCCGCAAGGTTATCATTAAGTGTTGAAGTTTTTAAATAGTTGTGGATTTTATTTGAATGTGATATATATAGTAAAAAAATCTATTGCAATGTTCCTTTTAAAATTTCTGCTGTATGTCTGATATATACAGACATCAGTAAAAATAACTTAAAAAGTACTTTTAGAAAATTTATGTAATAATTTTTTAACACATTGTATGTTTTATATTTGCACATGTTGCTGATTTATATAGCATACTGCGAAATTTTAAAGTCAGTTGTTCAATCTAATATCTTACTTTCGTGATTATCATATCTTATATTTCGCATAACGTTTTATATGGTATTGGATTATACTGTGAATACAGTGAAATAACCAAATATTTAACTGTGAAAATAGAATGTTCTTTTATATAAGTGTAACAGAAGTTATATACTTGTTTATTACTTTGCATGCACATTCCTGATCACAGCAGAAGTCTTATTTGTAAATATTTTCTGGAAACATATTCTAAGAAAAGTACTGTTGGTGGTTTATGTATCAGTGTTGAGTAAAAAGTGTTGCAGTGGAATTCCTAGTTATCATCTATTAATACTGAAGTTATCATTTATACCTAATTGCCATTTATACTGAGATTAATATTTAATACGACAACATATTTTCATGTTGAACAGGTCTCTTACATTCATCAAATATATAATCAAAAACTGCGTCTTACATAAAAAACTGCTTCTCATGTACACCATTGATACGAAACATACTTTCTTGACATGAGCAATAATAATAGTAATAATAATAATTTTAAATGAATTCATGAAGAAATATTTTTCAAGAATTTTAATGTTAAATTGATCTAACACGTTTTCATCATTTCGATGACAGACCAAAAACAAAAAAACAAAACAAAACAAAAACTTTAATATGATAAGATAGATTTTGACTGTTTTCTCATGAATAAAAATTGGTTACAGCCGAAAACATCGCGGCAAAAACATCGCAAACGAAAATGTCACGGAGAAAACAACGCAAGGCGAAAACGTCATGCTACAAAACATCGTGGAAGAAAACATCGCAAAGAGAAAACATCGCAGTTCTAAAACATCGTGGTACAAAACACCGTCGTCGAAAATAAAGCGGTTACAAAACATCGTCGTTGAAAATATCGTGGTAAAAAATAAAGTATCTACAAATCATCACATGACGTAACATCGCAGACATGCTTTTTCAGGCATGCTTTAATAAGTGTAAATGGATATTCCCATAATGATTTGTGAGCGCAAGATGGAAAGAAGGATAATTTTTACTTTCATATTTTTATTAATTATAAATTTTTGCTGAGAAATAAAAAGGAAAACTTAAGCATAAAAAATTAATGCAACTATAGCACTTAATAGAATTTTAAACCGACATAGTTAACTAACAAAGGCCATTAATAAATCATTTTAAAGTTTTTACTGGTAATTTTCATGTAAAGTATAATCTATAAGTTACATTTAATTTTCTATGCTTAAGTTTCCTTCTTACGTTTTCAGCAAAAATTTATTAGTTAATAAAATACAGGGGTTGGACAAAAATATGGAAACACCTTTAAAAAAACATGTTTCTTTGCTTAATATGGTGTAGGAAACCCGTTGGCATCCAAAACAGCTTGCAGTCTTCTCGGAATGGATAAATACAGTTCCTGTATGTTTACCAAGGGAATATTATACCATTCTTCCTGCAAAACGGTGGCAAGTTCAGATAACGATGTTGGCGGTGGGATAACGAGAAACGCACTTTCCGTTCCAATGTAGACCTCAAAGGTTCGATAATATTCAGGTCTGTGGTGGCAGGGGAGATGGGACAACTCATCCTCGTGCTCAGAAAACCAGTCCTGGACAATGTGAGCTGTGTGAACAGGGGCTTTGTCGTCTTGGAAGACACTATCACCATCGGGGAACAAAGTTTGTACCATGGGGTGAACTTGATCGGCCAAAATGTTCACATAAGTCTTGGTAGTCATGTGCCCTGACACAGTTATCATGGGGCTAGCAGAGATCCACGATATGGCTGCCCAAACCATAACAGAACCCCCGCCATGTTTCACTCTTGGCAACAAGCAGTCTGTATTATAGGCTTGAGATGGCGTTCTCCAAACGTAAACTCGGCCAGAAGTGGGAAACAATGTGAAAGAAGACTCGTCAGACCATATTACTCGCTTCCACTGCTCTATAGTCCAGGCTTTATGACTTAAACACCACCTTTTCCTGTTACGGGCATTAGCATCACTGATGAGTGGCTTCTCAATTGCAACACGGCCAGCAATTCCCTGTTTATGAAGCTCCCTTCTAATTGTTTTGGTACTCACAGGGTTCGGTAACACAACATTCATTTCAGCAGTAACTTTTGCAGCTGTGGTCTTCTTATTTTTCGTCACAATTGCCCTTAGTGATCGTCTGTCACGGTCACTCAGGACACACTTTCGTCCGCGCTGTGATTTAGCAGATGTTGTTTTTCCGCTTTTCAAATATGCGGAATAAATCTTCGATACAGTACCTCTTGAAACACTAAATACCTCCGCTACCTTGCTTACGGAAGCACCTACCATACGTGCTCCAACAATTTTCCCACGTTCGAAGTCTGTTAACTCTGACATAATGCAATGACAACCTCACATAACAGTACTCCGACAACAACTGAACTGTTTAGCATATTTACGAAGTTATATAGGTGGCGTCAGTAGTCAAAAACGCCAGCGCCACCTACATATTTCATTAAAATCAGTCTTTCTTTTCAAACATGCGTTTCACAAGGTGTTTCCATATTTTTGTCCATCCACTGTATGTGAAAGTAAAATTTATCCTTCTTTACACCTTGCGCTCACAAATCATTATGGGAATATCCATTTACAATTACTAAAACCTGAAAAAAGCATGTCTGCGATGTTATCGTCATGCGATGATTTGTAGATACTTTATTTTTTACCACGATATTTTCGACGATGATGTTTTTAAACTGCGATGTTTTTGAACCGCTTTATTTTCTACGACGATGTTTTGTACCACGATGTTTTAGAACTGCGATGTTTTCTCCCACGATGTTTTGTAGCACGACGTTTTCACCTTGCGTTGTTTTCTCCGCGACGTTTTCGTCCACGATGTTTTTGCCGCGATGTTATCGGTGGACACCATAAAAATTATAGAACACGTTTACTGAAGTCTAGTTTAAAAAATGTTACCTTTTCCTCCACATTTGAAGATACAAATTTTTATGTTTTTTATGGTACTACATACCATGCTTTGGATTTAAGTAGTAGGAAGCAGCCGGTTCACCGCCAGGATCTCGAACTCGCAGGCGGATTGCGGATGCAAGGGGAGGCGGTACAAGCGGAGGCGCAGCAGATAAGAAGGAATGTTTCGGGATTCTTGATTTAGTGGATAGAACTGGGATTTGAACCTGTAACAAAAGGAGTTCGTAGGGTAGTACTATGATTGATTGCTTTAGAGCACTACCCCATGATCTCTAGTCCCTTATTGGCAAGAAAAATATTATAAATATATATATATATATATATATATATATAGGATTGTCCCCCCAACCACCCGGCAATTCCGAAAATTTCGACAATCCCGAAAATTTAGAACAGGAAAACTTATGCATAACTTTATATAAGCTTTTCATAAGTTTTTCAATAGGCCGAAAAGTAACACTATACTAAAATACGTATAGTGTTATGAAAACTTAAAATGAAAAAAAGTAAAAATTAAGAAAAGAAAAATATTTATAAACTAGATGTACTTAATATCATTAAACATTAAAATTATAAAAGATTATATACATAAAACTCCATTAAATGCAAAAAATTACAAAAATTAATGAATAAATACGTTAAAATTAAATATACAAATTGCGTTAAATGGAGTTATATGTATATAATCTTTTATAATTTAATGTTTAATGATACTATGCATATTTAGCTTGTATACAGTCTTTTTTAATTTAATGTTTAATGATATTAAGTACATCTAGTTTATAATTTTTTTTTACTTAATTTTTACTTTCTTTCATTTTAAGTTTTCATAACACTATAGGTATTTTAGTATAGTCTTACTTTTCGGCCTATTGAAAAACTTACGGAAAGCCTACATAACGTTCTGCATAAGTTTTTCTGTTTTAAATTTTCGGGATTGTCGAGGTGCAATTAACTGCAACGGTTGGTGGTGGTGGGGGGGACAACTCTAAAAATATATATAATTTATTTTTAATATTTTTCTTGCCAATAAGGGACTAGAGATAATGGGGTAGTGCTCTAAAGCAATCAATCATAGTACTACCCTATGAACTCCTTTTGTTACAGGTTCGAACCCCAGTTTTATCCACTAAATCAAGATTTCCGAAACATTCCTTCTTATCTGCTGCGCCTCCGCTTGCACCGCCTTCCCAATCCGCCTCAGCCGCTTCATCCGAAATCCGCCTGCGAGTTCGAGATCCTGGCGGTGAACCGGCTGTTTCCTACTACTGCAGTGATTACATAATAAATGGGAGATAAAAATAGACAGTGAAAATACTATATTTACAAAGATATAGACATGAATTAGATGGGAACTTTATTAAAGTATAATAATCGCAGAAAGGTAAATTTATAAATTTGTATTTTCTTTTCTTTTCGCCAACAAAAGAACGGCCGACCCACTGGCGTTAGCATATCGGCCAAAAAGCTCCACTGTCGTAATTATCTGTAACATAATGCCTGAATTGCACGAGCTTAAAACATAGGCTTTACCGAATACGTTGTAGAAATTTATACTTACTTTTACATTTTTAACCAGTTAAATTTATGTTCTTTCCTATAAGCCTCCATTCCCCAATTGTCAATGCCAGAATATTTAAATCTGGTAGCGCAGGTGAAGTAATGCGAATTCTACTTTGAGGAGAAAAGGTTTAAATACCGAGTTCTAGAAGAGACGTTAGAGCGTGTGGGCAAGCGTAGTATCTCTGTAGCCTGAGCTCCTGATTCTGCATTTATTGCTGGTGAAAGTGGCGTAGCAACTATTACTTTGCTGCCACTAGATTTCCACGCGGTTTTAAGAAACAGGATAATCTGAGCCGTGTAGAGTAATTCTACTGCTTATTAATATCTTTTCATTTTTAGTTTAGATCTTGTTATTTTAATTATCGCCCGAGTGAGGTTCAGTGTATTAGCGTCAAGTCGACGCATTAGGAATTTTAATGAATTAATAAAGGGTTCTTTTTACCCTTCTCCTGTGTGGTTCCTACACGTACTTCAGCTGCCACATCAGAAGATAAATAAGTAGATGTCACAACGTATATACTGTAGCTTTACTAAGCAAGACTGCAATAAATTACCAACAATTAATTGTCGAAACGCAACATAAATGAATAATTAAATGCAAGAATGAATAAATAAAAAAGTTAGAATAAAAATAACTAAATAAGTTGCATAAAATAAATGAATGTGTGCATACAGCAGTGCAGCTGCATAAAAATACAATAGTGAGATTGTGGCATACTGCTAGTAATTGAACGAGATGCAATTAAAAAGAAACGGAGGAACTCTGTAAATAAGGCAGA